CTCTCTCTCTTTCTCTCTCTCTCTTTCCTGTATATATATGTGTGCACCTAATCTCTCATATTCATTTTTCGATTCTTAATAGCTAAGTGATGATAGTTTTTCTATAAAGTGTTGCGCTTTGTATTGCATCTCAAATCGAGTACCGTCACTTTCAAAGCCATGACGGCGATTTTGAACAACCTGTTGCAATTGTATGCATTTAAAAAAACCCATACTGGCACTTCTTTGCTAGATCTTTAACGCGAAGTAGCGGCTCTGGGAACATGCAAAACCCGTTTGCATGAATTCTTCACATTGTCTAGAGACTTTCGCATTTTCGATTATAAAGTCTCTTAGTTGTTAGTAGAAAAAAAAAAAAAAAAACATTTCAAACATTTAGCAAACCTAACATGGAAACTATCAAGTTTTTGCATATATCTATTTCTACTAAAATGGGTCTAACTGCCACAGTCGCAAAAATGAAGATAAGAAGTTGAAAGTGGGTTTAACCATTCCTCGATCTGTTTCAAGAATACGCTCGTTTGTGCCAGAATATATTGGGCATAAATTTGAACTAAAATATTATTGTTAATAATGAACGGGTCAACAAGCCTATCGAGGTCATTTTGTAATAGAAGGCGGTTGCAAGTGGTGCTGGCGAATGGGATCGAACGTTGTAGATGAAAATGTGAAAAAAATTATTTGGTGTTCCTTCGAGGTTTTCTCGGCTTCTAATCTGTTATGGACGTGCACGTAGATCGCAAGGATTTTTTCACCGTCGAGCAATGTCTATCTCACATTTTAGCATCTTATCGTCATTTCTGCGGCAGCGGCAATCCGACAGATATGATGGACGAAATTGCTCCTTTGCGGTCGAAATTGATATATACAAATATCATCGCCATCTCGAGATGCAGATTAGCTAAATAAAAATAGATTATAGTTATTTAAAGATTTTTTTTTATATAAATAAAAACTCATTTTACAAAATTTAGACTCTTTACTTGCCTTTTAACCACTTCTCTCTCATACCGATCCAAGCGCTAGTTCTAGCATTAAATCTACTTTCAGTAACTTGGAATTTTTGTAAGGACCTTAAAGAAAAATTCAAAAGTTTTTAACATTATCGTTCATTTACAGAGTATGCGCAGCTTTTTAGGTTTTTTTTTTTTTTTTTTTTTTGTGAATACACATCGAGGTTATTAAAGCGATCAGATGTTTCGCTGTCGGAAAAATTCTTTTAATTTCAATAGATGATGTTCTCTTACTTGGTTTTGACTTTTTTCTATATATTTAATTTGGGTTTCCCCGCAATCACGTGGGTTTTTGCGTGCTCCCTCTTTTTCTATAACTTACAAGCATAACTACAGTTTAGTTTAACGAATACGACTATCAACAAAGGAGATAAGTGATTATATATGTTGTTCAGCCGGACGTTATTTATTAGGTAACATATGAAGTCAGTTGATATGTGAAAGTATTGCTGTTGGGTTCAAAGATGACGTATGAGACTTTGAGATGAACTTGCCGCTCAGACACCACAATTCTTTTCGACGTTTATGCGTAAGAAGTGTAACCAACGGATTAGAATAAAAGATAATCCATCCCTTCTTTTTTCACTTAAACTTTCAAAATGCACTGCGCTAGCAACTATGAATCAAAAAATAGTGAAGATGCTAGTCTCTTAAAAGCAGGAAAGTATGTAAGCGATAACAAGATCTTTTAACCGAATGAACATATATCAACGAAGCATGTTAAAACGTTTGGGGAAAATTCACTGCAAAGAAAAAGATTTTCATATCTGCAGTGTGCATCTCTGCTGAAACCAAGCTCCAAGGTTAATCTAGAAGGCAACAACTAACATTGCTCTTCGTGTTTTAAGGCGCAAAGGAAAAAAAATTTTTTTTTTTTTGTTTGTTTTAGAAGGGTACAGGCGGATTGATGTGCAAAGGTGTTTAAGTTAATAGTTTCTTCAAGAATTTACAAAAATTTTCACCATTAGTGGTAATTATATAAATCATAAACGCGGTTGTAAAGTTACATCGAAGGAAATTGCATGATTTGAATGATACGAATATAATAGCAGAACCGAGAATCATACGGAATGGGTCGGGATCTGGCCAGATTGAATGTAGCGAATCAAAGCCAGAGTGAAAAGGAGTGAGAGAAACACGGACATATGTAAATAGGATCGAATTAAACAGAACGTATTCGAGCAGAATTAAAAAGATTCGAATCGAAAATGGTCGAATAGAATTCTCGAAGACCGAATATATTTAATCGATGGCGTGCAGTTAGTCCATTGTGCGTAGTCCAGATTTTTGTCTTTGCTAAGAGATGGGCTACCTTTCGACTCTGTTCGGATTTTTGGCAGGGTAATCGATAATTGGACTGACATAGGAATATGAATGAACAAAATGAGTATAAAAACTAAACAAACATAATTAAAAATTGAAAAATTTTCCTGTTACCATTTGTCATGTGTACATGTATGTGTATAAAGTTGAAAGAAAATTACTATATACAAAGTGTGTTGTAAAGAATTTCAGAGAAACAGTACAATTATATATTTTTTTAAGGACACGAAAAGCTATCAAAGAAAACCTATTTAATTAGCGTCTTCAAGGCGATTATTGCCGAAATTCTTCATGTACGTAAGGCAACAAATCGCTACGTAACGAAGACAAGAAATATTGGCCATCTTCAGGGCGCTCATTAAGCAGTATCAAAGCTATGCAAAAAGAACCTAACAAGCTTAAGCAGGATTAAACGATCTAGGATAAGATAGAAACGGGTGAATGTGATGAGGCAGAGAGGAATAAATAGCATCAGCATAGAGGAATGAAACAGAATGGAAAAGTATTCATTAGTAGATTAATCAATCAATACAATATTGGGTCAAAGAATCGCGATAATTATTAATTAGTCATGCTTTCAATAGAATGAATAAACTTTCACTCGCTGTGCTTTTCATATTTCGATTTTCGATTATCTAACAGGATCGGGTAATCAATCTCTTCTGTTGCGTGCGGTTTTCGTTAATTCGGCTTATATTCTTGTCTAGTGATTATTCCAAGTTCTTCTTAATCATATATCGTTACCGTCGACCTGGTTCAATACTTTACAATTGTAGTATATGTACGTCCTTTCACGTATTACGGTCTGAGTGATCTGTGCACTACTATCTCTTTTAGAGTTCGTCTTAGAATATTTCTTTCATAGGCAAACCCGCAAAGAACCGCTGTCTCAAGATCGTTCATCATTCTTCATCCTTATATTGTTGTATTGTAATGTATTTTATGTTTTTATAGAATACATATATATATAACAGAAAAAAAAAAAAAAAATTATTGCAATGAGTAATTTGCATACACTTGCGAATTGAAGGAGAAAGGATTGCATTACAAAATTTTGGTTGCGTCCAGATTTCTGAGTTAAAAATGCCATTTTTCTACATCAACGTGCCTACGCGTATTTGTGCGAGGGATTATGACAAATCAGAAATCATCATCAGTTAACACTCACTCAAGAGAAAAAACTTTTCATTAAACCGAAGGGGTAAATGAGTGTCAAAATGATAATTGGCAGAGAGTATCGAAACGGGTAAAAGAAAGATAGAAAGGGAGAAATAAGAGAGTGAGAAAGAAAGAGAAAGACAAAGTGAGAGAGAGAGAGAGAGAGAGAGATGCGAGAAATGAGAAAGATGGCTAAAAAAAGGTAAGGATAGACAAAGAGCATGTATGTATGCCCAAAAAAAAAAAAATAAATAAAACGAAGTCCTACAAAAACAATGACGTGTTAACAATGACGATTATGAGTAGTAAACTGTTGCTATTGTTATTAGTGTTGGCGATGTTGTTGTTCTTGTTGTTAACATTTGTTGGCACCGTTTGTACCCTGTTGTGGCGTTGGCTACAATATAAAAAGCAATAACAACAATTGAAATTAAAACGGAAAATGTTGATCTCTGGATGGATGTGTATATATGGCTTTTTCTTTGTGTACATGTGTACGAGAAATACGTGAGATGAGCTCAAGCATTTGTCTGCATTACAAATTCCAATACATATAAAAAAAAAACAAGTTGTTGTCTGACGCTGAGGAGGAGGAGAGTGTTACAAGGCAAGTAAAAAGCGAAAAAAAGAAACAGCAACAAATGAAAAAAACAAAAAAAAAAAAAAAAAAAAAAACCACCACACAAGCGCGAGTGCCTTATGCCGGACAGAGATTTCAGGCAAAGTCTCAACAAAGAAAGGTAGGCAAAATTAAGGCAGCATACAATTCAGTCAATTGGTTCAATGGTGCGCAACGATATGTAGAGAGTGGAATTTACTTTGCTGTATTATTCCTATGAGAATCGTTTTGACCGGCTTTGTGAGAGTAAATTTATTTTTAGGGTTGGGTTCGAGGGGTCGTTTCAGACTCAGACCGATCGAACTGAATGCGACTACACTCAAACGGCAGCCAACAAGCCAAATATTTAAAGTGATTTACTTGCCAACAATACCGCAAAAAGCAAAATGCAACTCAAACATTGCTCAAACTGAGCAAACTGACCGTCTTCATATCAAAATGCCATCGCATATAAACAATCAGGCTCAAGCACATGCGCACACTGTACAACGGGACAACAATCACACAACACAACGATAACAATTGTAAATAACTGAATTTACAATTTATTGTAATTGATGAATTGTGTAAACAATATACTATATAAATAATATTGGCATTCCATAAACTATCAGACGTAATGAAATAAGAAAACAGTCAAGATTAACAAAACAAAAAAAAAAAAAAATTAAAAAATTAAAAAAAAAAAATAAAAATAAAAATAAAAAAAACACATCAAGAAAATATGAAAAAAGAAAATAATTCGCAATTAACTTAAGCTGCCATTAAGATTGATTGTTTAAAAAAAACAATTACAATACAAATCTTACTTATGCATACATTTATTTAAAAGACATTAATCAGATATATATATATATATATATATATATATATATGTATGTATATATAAAATTAGATACGCGAAGTGTTGAAAGGATTTGAAAGGAAATTTTTGTAAAATCGTTTTTCGCGTGCGAACGTTAATGTAATCCCGTCAAGAAAGATGCATTCAAGGCTTCGCTATTTTGTGTTTGTCATCGCACTATTCATAGAATGGATGATAATGGTGGTAGATTGTAATACAGCCCTTCGAACAGTGCATATTAGTGCTAAAAGTACGCTTCAACTTAATGCCGACGCATTATTCATTAAGCGTTATAACTCCACCTCTTCGCCGGTGTTTGAGTCAACAACGGCAACGTCGTTATCATTATCATCAAGCACCTTAAGTTTAACTAGTTTGCGTTGGCGTAAAAGGCATCGTAAACGCCATAGCATTTGGTATGATTACAATAATTATAATGAAAACAGCACCACGTTGGAATGGGCAAATCCATGTGGCGGTTTCTACGATCCAAATGCCAAGCAATCACATAAACCTAATAAACGGAAACAACTAAAGGTACATTTTGCACATTTTTCCCTTCCCTACTTGCATTTTTCCTTTGCTTTTTCAAATATTTTTATAAGTAAATCAAAGAATGGCTAAAGCATAGCATGGCATAACAGCTTAACTCGAGATATACCAAATTGACTTTGTTTTTCATCTCCTAACGCTGTGACACCTAATTAATACGTTACACTATAATAAAGAACAGCAGCAATAAACAGCAAAAATAAAGTAATCGTCTAAGGGATGTTTCGCTTTACTAAGCCTTAAATTTTTAACTAATGAGGCTCGCGATTGAATTGAGGACAATTTTAATAGTTTTTGCAATGCAACCACCTTTGCTTATATCATAAATATTACGTTAAGTGAGAATGTTGCTCGATTCAAGTGTTGCCCGTTTGCCTTTGAGCTGATAATTGATTTCCTTAGGCCATAGAAAGTAGAATCAATTTTAACTTGAAATTTATTACTCGGGTTTATATTAATTTAGCTTTAGACTCCTTTTTATCCGATCACAAGCCAGCACTTTATACGCTACTTTTCACTGGACTGACAATTGAGATCAACCTGCGCGATCATTGAAGATAAGCAAACTGCTTTTAACTTAGTTCCCGTCGATTAGATTTATTTTTTCCAAACATCATTTCATTGTGTTCGACTTCATTCTAGTCGCGTTTCCAGATTAACAAATATTTAAACAATTTTTCAATTTTTTTTTTTTTAGTTAAATGCCTTTAATAAAATAAATTAAAAAGAAAGGAATAAAACCAATTTTTCTCAACATGCAACTATGCAACGAGGTATATTAACCAATCATATTCGTGTGTGATCATTATCATGTAGGGTGAAACCTTGAATTGCGTTGGCATTAAAAGCCTATCGCTTACGACATTTTCTCCGCCCTATTCCACGCTGTATTTGCAACCAATACCCAATACGTCGTGAATTTTTTTAAGATAAAAGATTCTAGCAAGATGTACCGAGATACGCGTCTCCATCCGTAGCATTCATATAGAATGTTACGATTCCAAAAGAATAGAAATAAAGTGTTGTATCGATTTCCAAAGAATCAATTATATGTTTTACCACAATTATGATTGAGAAATTGAAACGATTTCGGACCAGAGCTTAGGAACTTGAACATGCTTTTGTTATTAAGTTAAGATTTATGTGGCAAATATTGGTGTGAAGTTTAATGTAAATATTTTTTACATCGAGTTGACTTTCACTCCACTAACATATCTCACATAGATCATATATTGTCCATTCATCCGTTCGTCATCTAAACTCCTAACGTCGGTCATATTAATTTGGAAAATTGAAATTTAATACACATGGCATTAAATTAAGCTCACGGATTGTTGGGGTGAAAAAGAATCCTGTTCACCTACAAATACACTCAAACTTAAGATGACAATTTTGAAATATTGCTATTAATATCATAATAATATAAATCGGATAAAGATGTGAAATTTCTTACATACATTGCTTAGGCATGCAATTAAAGAATTAATTAAACAATTAAAGGAACAACCTTTGAACTTCTCATAAAGTGTTGTTGATAGTACAAAAAGCACTGTGTTCTTCAAAGATCATAATATATTCAATACGCTCAACTTTTCTTTATTAGTCTTTTTTTATACGCGCCATTGAAGGAAGAGGAATATATTTATATTGTCAAAATGTTCGCAACGCCCAGAAGGAAGCTTTAGAGACCCCATTAAGTATATACATTCTTGATCAGAATCATATACTGAATCGATCTAGAGGTGTCCATCTGTCCGTTTGTTTAATGTCTGTTGTAAACATTATCCTAAATTCGGCAGAAACATTGAAAATTCTTGCACACAGATTGGTATTAAAATCGATTGAAGAGTACACCTGCAATACTGCGTAAACTGAGGAAGCCGCGGTTTTTCAAAAGGAATAAGAAATTCTTTTCTTCTCATTATTCATTCATAAATCTACAATAATTTGCCTGTATATTCTATAGGCGATACTGTAGTACCCGCATAAAAAGAAGGCAATCGCGCAGGAAGGCACAAGCCTCAAAAACCTCATAAAATATACAAATTCTTGGCAAGTTTCAAATCCGGAATGTACTTAAGCATATCCCAAACTTTTCAAAGAATCCGTCCACCACGCCCACACGTCTATCTTACAAAATGTGTGAGCACCTGTGTTGACCATGGTTTTGTTTGGCTTGCTACTCATAGAGCACAGCACGTACACCATATAACTTTCCACTCTCATTTTGAAAATAGAAAAAATCAGTTATGTCCATCTAATACTATAGAGTATGGAAATGTAGTTCTTTCTCTCTTTTTTTTTTTTTTTGGGCTTTTTTATGATATAATGAATGGGTATAAGAATCCTACTTGTTCTTTTCGTCTTCTTAACTTGCTCGGGGTATCACTGAATAACAAGTTTTCCCAAAAATATTTTGCGAAAAGAACTTTAGTCTTTTTAAACAATGGCGCTATTTAAAGCTGTTTGATGTGTTCAAAATAAATCAAAATTGAATTTCAATGTTCGTGTATCATGCTTGTTTGCAAATGCTGCTCAATAACTGTTATTATAATTATATTAATAATAGTATTAATTGCTTTAATAGTATTACAAAATTTAATTGATTTGCATACATTTTCTTATTACCGTCAATAGGTATTACGATAATTGCTTTGATTTAATGCCTCAGATAAATCACAACAAAACAGAATTCCATTGTCGTTCATAATAATAAAAAGAAAAAAAAAAAAAAAATTAATAACGCAAGTAAATCGATTATACTTTACTTTGATCACCACAGTATTAGCTGCGAGAGCTATTGATGACATATATATATATATATTTAAAACTCGCATCATAAATAAAGAGAAAGTTAAAATATGTATTAATGATGAATGGTTTTCGTTTAGTCTCAATCTACTTTAGTCTATACTCTATAAGTCTTTTACTAACAGTCAGTCATCATAAACACAAAACACACAACACCGCTATTTAGATATTCTTGAAAATAAAGTATGAAAATGGACGCCGTCGTAATGTCCAAGTTGAGGAGTTCTCGATGTTTGCAAAAATATATACATTATCTATAGAAGTTGTTTGCTAGTGTAAAAAAAATTGACTTCTCCAATTACCACTCGTATTATCAGTGGATATATCAATTCTCTTTAGAAAAAGAAAAACAAAAAAACAAAAACGATATTTACTAACAACATACCAAACAAGTTAGGTTAGGCCGTTTGCCTAGTTTGCCTAAGAATGTCATAATCCATCTTTCAAGTATGTAGAATTTATTTACAATATCTATTCAAAATAACTTAGATTGGATTCCAATATCCCGGAAAAGTTGTAGTGAAACTTCAGCGAGATCCAAGGGCGGCTCAAAAAGTTTTGCAATACAGAAAATATTATTAAGCCATAGCGAAATATGATCTATTTGCTATTACGTAATAGATAAAAAATATTATCATAAACATGTAAATTCACTGTTTACGTTGATGCAACCATTCGTACATTCATTTATATACGAACATTAGCAAAGAGAATCCGGGCTAACTAAGTCAGCAAATGTAAACAAAATTTTATGCTTAAGAGCGCTTGGGATAAATAGTAAATTGATATTTAAACCTACCATTTTCCCTTATCAGTTAACCCTATCAGATCAGATCAGATCAGATCAAATCAAATCAAATCGGTCAGATTAACTTAATTAATTTTTTTCATGTGATCATGTGTACACTTAAACATTGTTTATGCAATGTCTTCTCCATGTCTCCTTCTATTGTCAAAGTATTATAGCGTCCTTGATTTTATTTAAAGATGTCAGTGAAAAGGAATTCGAGTCAACGATGTTTCCTATAGTTCCGACCTTCTTTTTCAAAAGTTTAATATAGTCTTAAACGAGTAGGTAGCTTGCTTTTTACTTTACATTACGTAAATTAAAACAAGTAAAAAGCCTACAATGGCCAACGGTCTACTATTAAATAGCCTACATCACCCTGCCCTGCATATATGTTGGTCGCATGACGAATTTCAAAATATGACTTCGAAAACGTGAGCCCTTCCGACCAACCATTTACGCTTGGGCGTTTATTCTTTGGGCCAAAATGCTCCGATTTTGCACACAAGAAAACATGCTCGACAGGACAAGCTTAGATCGATACAGAAAGCGGAACTACATCGATCGCAAGTCCTTCAGGGTGTTGTATATAGTCGCACAAGCTTAATACATGGTCCAGGTCATAAAAAAGTTTAATTATGCCTTTAAGCTTACGTTTTCCGATATTTTTGTATTTAAAAGTTTTTCAAAACCTATTCTTATTACTAAATCCAAATGCAAAGCCAATGGGGCAAGTAAAGAGTACAAGTTCGCTTGTTTGGTTTGTGTCGAGGGCAGGAAACATACATTTTCGCACAGCTGGATCAAATTCATCTCAATTTCTTTTATTGAGTAAATTATTTTCATTTTATGTATATTTTTTGTCTTATTATCTATTATTGTTATAATATAAATTTTGTTTTTGTTGTTTTTGCTTTTTTACAGATTTATAGTATTTTAAAGAGATCAGCTAATAATGATTATAAGACTTTAATGGGTAGTCGCCAGCAAGATATTGATATTAGCAACATTGAAATGTGGTGGCTCCATCATAATACCTATAAATTTCTACCAAAGTTGAAAATGAACTCAAGCGTAAGTATTTTTCAAAATGCATATATATGTATATATATATATCTAAATATAAGAAAATTATTCATCTTCATGAATAATGAAACGAAAAAAAAAAAATATTTTAATAATAAAAGCTATTTTGATAGATTTAGTGCACAGTGCGTACGAAGTCTACTTAAACGAATTCAATCGAAACTGTATAGCATTTCTCGTGCATGATTCTTTGATCGATCAAACAACTTGAATTTATATATATGTATACATATATATCAAGTGGATGCACTGCCGATTTCGTTATCTGCCTGGAAATTATTAAGTGGAAACACTCTTAAGTCTCTCAGCTAGGCATCCAATATCCTAATAATCTTTTATGTTCTTTCATTATATATTTTAGTACTGGAAACACAACAAAATATTCTTTCATTCTATTCCATTATGACAAAACGTCTAAGGCCTTGTTCATGCTTTTTATCTCATATTCAAATTTTTTTTTTTTACCCTACCTTAAACTAAAATGTCCTCTGCTCAGTGTCCTTGCACTTGAAGATGTTAGGTCATTTTTGCCCCCTTATCTCTAAGAGGAATAACAACTTTTATTATATTATTATTATATTATAAGTCAACAGGTAAAAAGAATGTTTTCACCTGCCAAATCAAGTACTCTTTCAGCGTTGATAGTAATATTTTTCTAAAAATTTACTCTGCAGTCGTGCAGGTTCTCATTCTCTCTTTCTCTTGTCATTTACTCGCAACCCTTGCTATTCATCTAACGCTTTAGTTAGTATTTATGTTAAAATCTTTCGCGAATAGCAGGAGAGGAAATGAGTAAACGCATCATAGTTGGGGAAAGCCGGCTATTAAATACCCTACGCCATTTTACCTTACACAATTAGATTTGCTACCATTTAGGAGCTTATTTTTCATGAGAGTCCTTAGACGAGGTGCGAGGTTATCTAACTATATTTGCCATAAAAATAATAACTTTTTCTGCGAATCCTTTTATCGAGTCGAATGCAAAGACGATCAACTTCGGGACCCAAATTTACAGTTCAGTTAATTTTTTCTCTTGGTCATATAAACTGTCACCTTTCATAGACACGATTATATGTGAGCGGATTCAAAAAGCAAGTAAGTCCATCCGATTCAAATTTCTCACATCTTTTCATAAAGAAATTTTGAAATTTGTAAATTATTTTCGTGTAACGGTTTTCGAGCGATCGTAAAAGTACTCTAATCCAAACTCGATTATCAAAACCATGCGTCCTTGGTGAAATGTAGCAAAAATTGCGATCTTTATGTCGTATACAAAAGTATACATATGGAGATACATCAGTCACTCAGTCATGGACAGATAAGCTTGAATCAGGAGTCAGAAAATGATTTTGCATCTATAAGCGTTGTAGGTTTTAATTAGTAAATAATGAATTCGTTCATATATATATATATATATATATATATATATATAGTTACGATAAATATTTATATTAAATTTTATACAAAATATTTGCTATTAAAAGATGTTTTGCTGGAAGAAAAATATTGAAAAGCTTTTAATTAGATTTAAGAATCAGTCAGTCATTGAGGGCTCTTTGAACTGTTGTTAATAGATATTGGCTCTGCTGCCATGCGTGAAGCATTTAAGTCAACTATGAAATCAACTATGAAAGGCATGTTACCCCACAGTTTTTATAATCGTAGGTGGTAATAAGAAGAGCGACGAACATGAATTGTTGAAAAATACCGCATATTGGCAAGAAGGAAACACTCCGATTAGACGGGATAGGAAATATGGTGATGTTGTCTTCGTCAGTCCATTGTTTATACAGCTTGTCTGTCCATTTGTCTTTTTTGCTTTCAGGTCATCAGGTCACTTGTTTTGGCCCAACGAAAACGATTCTATTCCGACCACTGCCAATATAAGGCCTTAGTTTGAAAAGTCGCTAGATGAAAGCAACTGGCGTAGGGCACTTAATGGTGGGCCGTGTCCCATTACAGTCTTTCTATTTGTTTTATTTTTGTTTTACTGTTTGAGTACCGCTCATCCCTGAGTTTGGCAGCACGATGTTCCGCATAGTTTAACTCTACAAGACTGCTGTCTTGCGCTCGTGTGCGTCATATGCCGCATGCACATATGATGTAAATAAATAATAAACGTAACGCGACGTTTTTCAATTAACGACGTTTTCAATAAAAATGCAGAGCAATGTTTAACTTTGACTTTTGTCTTACTTCGTCGCAAAAGTAGTTACCTTAAATCCATTTTCAATAACGTCCGGGCTGAGAGTCGTCGTAAAAGTCGTCAGTGCAAGTAAATTTCGTTAAAATATTTCGAATATTTCGACCTATTTGGATAGACATCAGAAGGCTGGACAGGCGGACAAGCTTAAATGATTCTGAATCGATCAGTATAATGAAAGGTGCATTCACCTCAGGCCCTTCGGGGTGTTCCATACATCCAGATAAACAAGATGTATGTAGTTTATAAGAAGGAAAGGTGAGACCTAAGACTATGCTATGGACAAAATGTAAATGAAATGTTAAAGTCGTAATTGGGCTTTTAATTGACGAATAGATGAACGGTTTGTGTTCTAAAGAAACAAAAAGGCTTTAAATTATTCAAATATCGCAAATATCGACATTGCAGTAAGAAAGCATCGATTAATGAGTCAATTAAACGGTGATTAGTGAAAGAAGAATTCTGTAAATTGAATTTTTTTTAAGAAATGATTCATAAATGAGAAATGTCTACCTTCATCACGTTATACACACATTAAATTATATTATAATATATAAGAATTGTATTCGATTAATTTAAGCGAAAAATATTTTTCATCTTATTCTTGTTTATAGATTGCTTTGAAACGTTGGTATCGTAATATGCAAACGTATGTAGCATCGTTCGGTTACCTAAGACGAATACAATTGAAATTCGATCATACAAAATCCCAAGGCGAAAGCAGTACAGCACGTGAACTAAAGGAATTACTAAAAAGTTCACGGAATATGTTATGCGAACTGGAGACGGCTGTTAACGGCACTCAATCGTTTAAAGGCTATCGCTTTCGTAAACAATTACCGCAAGTAAGCCGCTCGCAAATGAACAAACGTTTAAAATTGCGAACTAAACAGCAACTTGATCGCAATCCGACTGATATACAGCGAGCTGATTCAATCGATTTACGTTTCGTAAAATTCTTTTATTATAAATATTTGAAAAATATGTGCAAATTATTGCGCGAATATATTAAAAATAAAGACAAACTTGAAAGGGGTCCATCGCGTCGTGCCTTTAATGAAGTGGACAAACCGATGAAACGTTTAAGGAAAAATAGACACTCACTTAACATGGATCGTATATCCCGTGTAAAAAAGAATAAAAATCTAAGAATTATATCCAATCTTGTGTAGTTCTAGTAAGCGCCTATTGTAAGTTATTTCCGCAATTGACACTATAAAGCGAGCGCCGATGCGAGCAAACATAACGAGCCCTACTCTAAGGCGATTGCCAAAGCGACACTTTTGCAAAGAAAGTAAAACGAATGAGACAGTCAATCCTTTATCCTAGACTTGAATGCCGAGTTGAGAGTACACTTCATGATACCGCTTGCAGCATAAAGTAACTAATGACCACAGAAGCAATGCGAATCGATTTAACTCATTCTGCCTTTCTATCTGACTGACGGACCGAAATTTTTAAAACTGAAAAATTTTAAAGAGACAAAACTCTCAATCCCTGCACATACAATCTTGTGTAATGCATTCATAGTTTAAAATAATAATAGATCGGGTAGACTCGGGGGGCTTCTAACATCCAGAAAATTAGCTTAGTTACGCGATCGTTCGAGTCACTTTAGTAATGTCCGTACGTTTATTCATGGAAATAATCAAGTTTGCAAAAATCTGGATGAAAAGTGAAAGTGAAGTGTACTTGTACTTGAGAGTGGACTACATCCAGCGATAAGTGAATCTGTAATTTGGAAAGTGCTGGTAAAATGTAAAAAAAAATTGAAAATTTTGTTTCTCCCAATATTAGACTGCAGGAGAGGGTGACTTAGAATTGAGCAAAAATCTCTTCTCAGGTGCTTTAAAAAGTTTTGAGCAAAAACAGTTTCGATTCGCTTACTGACTGACAAACATGGTTCTAATAGACTAACTTGCAAGTTTTCTATAGCTGCTTGAGTGGACCTGTATCTAAGATTCGTTTAAACGCGAATAAAATGTGCTTGTTCTCTATGGAAACACACACGCAAACACACACACACACACACACACACACACACACACACACACAGATGAAACAAGTATTTATTATTTAAAATAATTTCTTTTACCATCATTTTTAGTTTTTATATAAAAATCATAATAAAAATAATTATAATAATTATTACTCTAGTCAATGTTATTATCCCCATCTTTTTTTTTTTTTTTTTTTTTTTCTTTATACATATATATGTACACACATTATATTCCCACCAACTTAATATGCTATAAATACAAACATTTATGAATGAAATAACTTTTTTTTAATGATTTTAAATAATAATAATTTTTACTTTTAAGTTTTTAGAGTAAAAGGAAAAATGAAATAATTACTTAATATATATGTAAGTGTGCTTTTTTTTTTAAACTTGTGCTTAATAAAAAAGAAAATGTTCCTATATATGTATGTATGTATGTATAATATAGAATAGTGTAGTATAGTATAGTATAGTATAGTATAGTATAGTATAGCATAGTATATAGCGTTTATATGTATATGCGGTTATATACGCAATAAGTTTTTATTACTTAGTTATATATACGTAGTAGAAATAGTGTCTGCTTACAGTTGAACAGCATTTTAGCGTTATTTCCTTGGCATTTCGTTTAGGTCCGATCTGTGATATTAGTTCTGGATATGCGTGCACTTACAACAGCATTATAAAAAACGTATTAATCGTATAATTCTAATTATATACGTATAAGTTTACTTTAATTGTAATGGTTAATTTAATTTATTAATTTCTTTATCTTTGTACATAATCTAGGCTAAGAGGATAATGATGTAGACAATAAAAGTTTTTATTAAAAATGTTTGAAAATTGTTTTTGCTTCCAAGTTATAAACTGAGATCGAAAGCATGATTTCGATTTTGTTAAGATTTTGCTCAGATTTTTATATGCTTCATTTTTAATCAGCGCACTCCGCGCCTTATGTCACAAAATTTTTAAGAAACACAAATTCAAAGAGTAATTTGTATAATTATTGTAAGAGTCTTGACTCTACGATTATCGTGTGATTATTCTATGCAAGCGATTGCTTTTTTTTTTTTTTTTTTTTTTTTTTTTTTTTTTTAGAAGACATTCAAAAATTATTAAGCCATTTTTAGCAGAATGCTATAAGAATTTTTTGGATATAAAAGTGTAATATTGACTCATAAGAGATGTGATAAGCTTTTCAGCAGATTATCGTAAGAATAATCTAAGTCGGTCATAAAAAACCATTGTAGTAAAATCGTAGAGTGTTCGCAAAGAATGCAAGAAGCTCTAACAGGAATCAGGTATAGGCACGTTCTAAGAATAACTTGAAAAACAGAACAAGTCAGAAACTTATATTTGGTCGCGACCCATTCCCGTTATCCTAAGCAAGAGTAAAAAAATGAATGAGAGACGAACAGACGGACATGTTAGGATGCACTTCAAATATGAAACTGACCAAGAATTTATATGGTTCATGAAGCTCGCTTCCATAATATTGGGCAAGCGTAGTCAATTTTTTCCATTTTTCCAAATTTGGGGTCGATAGCTGCGTGTTTGCGGCCAGAAGCGTGTTTACAACAGACATTACAAAGACGTACAGACGGACAGACGGATATGCCCAATTCAGATTCAGAACTATATGCTAATCAAGAATATATGTGTATTCATTTGGTGCAGTCTCTGAAGCTTTTTTCTTGGTGTTTGTAAACGCTTTGACAAAATGAATATACCTGTCATTCTTCGGTGATGGGTATCAAAACCATTTTGATATCACCAAAGTTCCTAGTAATTAATATATTTTTCTTATTGTATTGTAAAAGCGAAGTGATGTTACACACACACAATAGTTGCCATGCAGTGTATCGGCGAAAACTCGGCTCAATTTTGTGTCAAAAATCACGTGCGTTATTTCGTGCAGCGAATTTTCGGTTTACAGGCATTTTTCAAGCGTTCGTAACCATATCAAGAAAGTGAAATAGGTGAGTGAAGTAAGTGAATAGATAAAAATTATTTCGATGTAATAACAAAATGTAATGCACTCGTTTATGCTTCATGAACTCAAAACGGTTGCGTAACTCACGCGTGACGAAATTTAAAAGATTAAATTATTTTCCTCTAAACGTTCCTTTCAAACGTTTTTTAGCATTAAAGAAAATATATCAGTTGTGCAGGGATCGGAATCGATAAGCGGTATATATATTAGATAAATGAAAAGGTCTGCGGGATTTTTTAATCAAAATACAAATGCATTGCCATTTTTCTGGTAGAATCATTCATTAATCGATCACTGTTGAGCTTGTGGAATTTGTGAACGAAAAATTAAACCAAGTAAACAGAAAGCGAAACAAATGTTAGTTGAGCGAGGGTAACGTCCGAGTTGAATACATTAGAAACTTCTCAGCGCGACCCTTTCAGTTTACGCCGGGTAATTGAATATGTTTATGATCCTTTGGGTTTAATGAGCGCTTTCATCGCATTCCGATGCACGATTCCTTTCCAATTTCGTCGAATATAAATCATCATCTACTGTTGCGTCAGTTCGGGTTTTGCCACAACTCGTGCGACGTCATCCATCTTTTCGAGTTCTATCCAAGTTTTTCAAATATTATTGGCGAGTGTTGTCCTCTTCTCATCGCCCCGGATCAATCGGGTCGAAAATGGCGATGTACAGGTGAAAACTCGGCTCATTGCATTGCAAATTGTTAATGTATCCGCATGAGCAGCCGACTAAGTAAGACTTACGACTATTGAATCTATGCTAGGGTTTACTTTGGTCGTAGTTACAGAGAGTGACCTGTCGGTAAAGGCAAAACACTTACCTATGACACACGTACCCATTAAGCTGCGGCCGCTTCTCTGCCTCTTTATCTTTCTTTACTTCTTTCCGACCGTCACTGCATTCAATAAATATGGCACACGTCCTAAGTGATTGATCATATTATCCATGGAAAAAAGTTGCAAGCTATCCGTACCGTGATCTGGAAACTCATACGGTTGCCAAATATCGAGTTTGCTTTTATCTTCAGCTTTATTTAAGTGGTTTAAAATTGTTTTTTGGTCAACATTTCGCTCAACAACGATTCAACTTGCGGGCCGTTTGTCTCTTCATCTGTGCACAGTGTCTGCAGTAAACATTCTTTTGATCGCAAAAAATAAAACTATGGTCTTCAAGTTTGACAAGAAAATGAGCCAAATCGGTCAAAGGACACGCATATAACGCAACGCATTAGCTGACGTCACTTTTTTTTTCAAAAGCAAGAAAAATTGGATTTTGTTCGTGTTACTTATCATCCGAAAAAATTTGGACATATATTATGAAGGTCATCTTCCAGTATTCACGCAAAAGTTGAAACAATAGCCCAAGCTCACCGAAATTGAAATTTTTTGTGTTTTTTTTTTGAGCGTTTTTTTAAGCTAAAGTTGATAGGTGTTGAAGATTCGGTCACAATCGAAACTTATTCCCCACTAATCTTCCAGATACGAAAGCTTTGTCGGGCACTCTCGTTTACTAAATGCGTATAAAAAATTCTACAGATTTCGTCTGTTAAGTTCCTTTACCATGAACTTTCATAAATACTTCTCCACGAAAATTATTTTCGTTCGTGCGTTCATATGAAAGTTCAATTCGTCTATCGACCGTTTGTCGATAGCGTGCTTAAAATTCGCAATATTGAAAAAAATTGAGACTAGAAAGTTCAATGAAAATTTAATAAGCATTTCAGTTCGTCGACATCTTCGGAGCATTCATAAACTAATGCGTCATCATGCAAATCATCTTTGCAAAGATCGTCTTGGGAGGAGCGCGTTTTGCATAGACTTTCGGAATCAATTGTTGAATTTGGTATAAAACGTATTCTTCATATTAAACGTTTGATGGCAGAGCCTTTCTCCCAAGTTCTAGATTTTAAATTTTGTTGGCTGTGTTTTGTGCTGTGCTTTTCTGAAAGGACTGACTGAAGACTGTGTAAAACTGAACATTTTTTGTTTTGCGCATGCGATGATCAAAATTGTTGTGTTAGTCGTTTTGTTGTTGGTATTTTTTGTTGCCTAATGTCGGCTAAATGCATCTATGCTATGCTATGCTAAGTTGTTAAAGTAAATGCTTTAACATCACTTAAGAAAGAGATTTATGCATATTACCGTTGAATGTCAAACGTTTTGTATGCATGT